TAATACTGTTCCAGCTTACATACAAATTCAGCTTAAGAACAGACCTTGGGAATGGAACTCGTTCTTAAACTGGGGACTACCTGTACTATTCTACTTTACAATATCAGTTATAGCATGAAAGACTGTGGGATTTTTCTTAAATAGACAAATTAAACTCTGGAAATTCCAGCACAGGAGTAGATGACAGACTACCTAAATTATGCCTGTAGGAACAATCTACTAGACGATTAGATTGTAGGGCTCCTGACTGACTGCTTTGATTAAGTAGGTTCACTTTCGTCAGGTCTTAGAGACCATTTATTATTACTGATCTAGGTGATCTAGTTCACACACATGAATGTTTTCCTCTTGTCAACAGCATCCTCAAGTAATGACTTGCTGTTTGAATCAGTCATCAGAGATTAATCCCATCAGATACGATCTTAATCTAATGCAGTGCCAATTCAAACTCTTTCCTGGGAAGATGCAATGTTTTTCTTTAGGTGAACAATGAAAAAGATTAAGAGAAAATGTGGGAAAAAAATTAGAACCAACACTAAGTAGCTAACTTACTCCTGATCTCACTCAGAGTAGAGTTCCAAATAGTGCTAGATTTTTAGGTTTTAAGAAGTTACAATTTTTGGTATATTGTATCTGGGGCTAAACAATGGCTGAATACAGATTAAACAACAGATTAAACAATACACTTCTTTTCTCCTTCAGTGCTATTGATAGTACAAGGATAGTAATAGACCCTGAGAAAAATTTACAACTTCAATGGACAGAATGCAAGAAATCGCTAACTAATAGTGCAATTTCTAATTGCTGCTGACTGTATATCGTCCCATTCCTGAGCTTTTTTCCAGTATAAATAAATGAAGTGGTGAAATTGATTGGATATATTTGGAACAGCAATTCAGCTAATGAATTTCATGCTTCAAATGCCAGAAATGTACAATATAACTGCATAACGTTTTGATTTTGTTGGTTTACAAACACCACAAAAGTGATTTTAGTAAAATACGTATTTGTTCATACCACCAATTAGACTAGTTGAGCTACCCTTAGCTAGAAAAAAATTAACCCACTTTTGATTTCAGGTTGTGTACCAATTTCTTATTTCTTAGGAGGATACTGCTACAACTAAATACAGGATCCAATCAAATACTTTGGATTTATGCTAGGCTAATTTGAAAGCAAGTGCATGTCTCTGATCTACTTGCTTTCATGACATAGGAAGAAAAGAGAGGTTATGTATTATACCCAAAATAGATCAATGGTTCCAAAGGATAGGCCCCACGATAGATAGTCTTGCTTCTTATTAACCAAAGGATGTAAATGCACAGGTATATCTTATTGACAGAACGGAAATGTCCCTAAATGTTATTCATGATTTAGTGGATTTATTTAATTTGTACAAGCTAGGAATGAAGATTTGACAATCCCATTCAGTCTACTAATTCCTGAAAAAATTGCTATTGGCCGAGCAAGTAGCATCACTTCACACACAGACACACACCCACACCCCTAAGGTAGAACCAGTTTAGGATCTGTATGAGAGACCAGAATGAAACCCCAAGGCCTTAGGTTCAACTGGGAAAACATCCCAGAAGCCAAGGACAAATTATTTCCATATTGTTCTCCAGAAATTTGCAGGGATGGATCCATGTAGTCCCAGATGCCAAGCTCAATTTGAGGGAATCTGTACCTTTCTTTACCAGTATTGCAATTTTCTGTTCTAGTGGGGAAGAAGCATAGAAATGTTGTTTTGGTGATAAATTTAATACTTTTGCTCCAAGTGTGATGCTGTTTATGGACTTCATAAGAAATTATTGCATAAGTATGTGTATGTGGGGTTATGTGCTCAAGGAAATAAGTAACAGGATGCCTTCGTTACAGTTTCTCAACTTTATGAATCTTCTCCCAGATCTTTAATAACTCGATGCTCATTGGTTCTGTTCAAATGTAAGTACAATGGCTACCCACAAAGGATTCTGGGAATTGTGGTCTATATAGAAGCAGAGCATTTCCTATTAAAGATCCCTAACTGAAAAAGAAATATTTCCATACTGATGTGGTTGTTATGCTTCCCTATGTATATGTATATGTATATGTATATGTTTCACTTTGAAGTTCTGTCCCTGATTGATTGCAAATCACAGCTTCATATAAGATGAGAATTTAGTCAAAAGGAGTTTTAATTTCCCTACAAGCAACTGCTTTCTGTCAAATTTAACAAGAAATGCAATGTGTATGTGTATTGTTTTTATCCCTGATTATTTTAGTCAGCAGTTCAGTTCATATGTGCTGTTATTTGCCACATATATCCTGCATTTCTCAGAGAAACTACAGAATCCCTCAGACTATCAAGAGAGCTACAGAGCTCATGTATATTTTATATAATTTATAATGAATGGGCTGTCTACATGGATTGCCAAGACCAACAGAAAGTCCGATAAGGTACTTTACTGTCCAGAATACAATTATTTCTAAGATGAATTATTTATTAAGTTATATTCACAACTGTTTTTGTGACCAAGCCATTTCAGTACATCTTTCTAAGTTTGATTGTTATGAAGTGTTTAAATATATATCTCATAGGAAGATGGTTGCATATGGCAAAAACTTATACATATTATTCTATACAGAGATTTTACAACCCAATCAGTTCTAATACTGACACCAAAACAGTGACTCAAGCAGGCACATTTGCACATTTGGGATCCAAAAGATAAACTAATGCTATTCCAAAATTTGCCTTGCAATTTATCAACAGCTATCTTGCCTTGAAAATGAGAAGTTTCTGTTTCTGTTTGTGTTTTTAATCTTATTCTTAGCATCATTGACAATTTCATTTTGATTCCTTTTGATATGTTTGTCAGCTTTTCACTGGAAGGTGATGAAGTATACAACTACTGATTTTGGTGTTATCTGTTCCATACGTTTCCATTATTCTGAGCTTCCCTGGTTGATCACACTTTCTAATGTGAAAAAGCCCAAACGGAGGAGTTTATTCATGCTGATTGTTTCATCTGAACCCTTGCCTCTTTCTTAAATATGTGCTTTTATCAAAGGGGATTTCTTAGCCTAGGGTACAGGGATTAATAACATAGGAAGAGCTGGGGATTTTCCATGTTAAAACTTTACTGAAATCCCTTGAAAAATAAGGTCTATGGTTCATTAAGAAGTAACATAATCATGTTCTCTTCCTTCCCATAATTTTATCCAAGTATTATGAACGATACCATAATTGGATGCTTACCTCCTGTTAGCATAAGAGCACATTTGCACATACAATTGTCATTGTCGGCATCTTTGGTACTAAAGTCAGCACCATGTAATATCAGGCTGCTTTGCTTCCCCGCTGTTCCAGAATGACCCTTTAGATACAGCCTAAAAGAGGAAAAGAGAAGAGGTTAAGAGAGGGGAGATATTATCAAGTACAATAATTTAAAAATTCCCCTTGACTTGGGACTTCAAGAAAACAGGCTAGGAAATTTCTGAAATCCTGAAAATGGAGAAGTGATGCTCTGGCATGTTGCTAAGAATTCATTGTTCTGATTTCTTTTCCTCAGATGAAATTAGCACTGAGAGCAAGATGGCCTCAACGCTGAAGTATTAATAATTATGCTAGCTGAAATATATGAACAATGCAGATTCATTAAAAAGAGTAAGAGGAAGACGTAGAATGACATACACAGAACCTCAAAAATTGTGCTGTCCATCAGCAAAGCTGGATGTAGAAATCTCTGAGTCCTCTGGCAGGGGAGTGAGAACATCTTGGATCAGCTCCCCAAGGAAAGGGTTTTTCTAACATGCAACAACAGACGTTTGCATCATGTCTCATATGGAATATGGATGAACAAGGCCCCATTCATTTCAATGGGCTGAACATAGAAAAATCTCCAGTTCACCTTTTCTTTTCATCTTAAAATTTGCACTCAAACTCTAACTGTACAGCAAACTCACCTTTATATAGCAATAAACAATAGCCACCAGTTGTGGAGCACATAATGTCACCAGGTTTTTTTGCTTGCTCTCATTCAAGATTTTCTATTAGATCAGAGTGTCTAATTCTATGGCAGTTCCAGGGTAGCCTTTCATAGTTGAGCTTTCCAGGAGATTCTGCTGAAGAATTGTGAGATCTCATTCCTACATTTAATTTACCCTAGAAGAAGACTATTCAGATAATTCCCATTTCAGATAAGTATGTCAGATGGCTGTGAAACTTACACATTGTCCATTTATGCTCAAGGGCACGATCCATGATATTTTGACATGTTTATTTTTAAAGAGCTAAACATTGCTTCTGGTGTGTGTGTGTGTATTTGTGTGTGTGTTAGAAAGAATGTGGCCAATCAAACTAATTGTGTGATAAATGCAATTTACTGGAGATTCCAAATGCAGGGTAAAGATAAAATATCTTGGAAAAAAATGCTGGTTATGAAAACATCAAACTTTATAAGGCACAGTTGAAATGCAGTGCCAGTTAGATACTGTTTTCTAATGCAGTATACAAGTGAAGTTTGGGAGCAATATATTCTAAAGCTTTTTGCCTGTCTTTATACATTTTAAATTAAATATAAACAAGCTAAATTGAGATTAAAGCTTTCTAGATTTACTGGTTTGGACACTGATGGCTTATTTTAGTAAATTATCTTTTTTTTTTCTTTTTCCCCTCCAGAGGAAAATAAATGCCTGTGGAATAGTGCTGAGAGAAAAATGACTCTGAGATATGGTATCTCCCAGCTTATTTTAAACTGTCACAGAATGTCAGTACATCACCCATGCTAGACTTACAGAAGCCGATGTCAGCATAAAGGAATGGAACCTGACTTTTTGACATCAGTTACTAGATTTAGGTAGAAGATGACACCATGAAGGTACCAGTTAATAAGCTAGAGGATTTTTATTGGGATATGTGAAACTTCCTTGAATAATTCTGCAATTCTTGGGACCAAATTGATGAGAAGATTCATCACAATAAGGATCACAGGAAATGTAGGGCCATGAGTGGTTGTGGGAGTGGGCAAGGGAATAATCATGTCATATGTAACTTGATATCATCATGCAACTGTGTTTCCATTCTTTGGGTAACGTTGCTAGCAGGCCATGTATCAGATGCTTATGCAAAGGACACCAAGTTTGGATGATTTCTTGGAAATATTGAAAAGTGTGTTCAAATGGCCGGCTATGCTGAATCCTGTATTTATATTGCAATGTTGACACTGGCACTCTCTTTTTAAATAAACCAACTCTAAAAGATGTTTGGAAGGATGCTGTACATTATATTTGTAAGTAATATAATCTTTGAAAAGTCATATAATATAAATTCTGAAAGGAGAAGACTACATTGATATGAGTATGATTTATGCTGCAGTGAGTGCTTGATGAAATGTTGGCTATTGTATTTCTCTTTCTTAATGAAAATTATTTAAATGAATGTAGCTACAGAAAAAAAAAGTTTCAGGAAAAATGGATTAGGAACAGAGTAATGGGAGAAGGAGACTGTTTTTCCTGATGCCATTTTAAATTTTCTTTCCCAAGTGATTGTTTATTCCCAGGGGCAAAGCAAAAAGGCTTCCCTGTGTATTTTTCCTTGCAGGAAAGGATAACTTAAAATACTGTCCTCAGCACTGGCTGGCCAACTGCACTAAATCAAATGACCCCTGGAGAAGAACAAATGTAATTCCCATTGAAGAAAAAGAAAGAAAGAAAGAAAGAAAGAAAGAAAGAAAGAAAGAAAGAAAGAAAGAAAGAAAGAAAGAATCGCAATAATTACTAACCAGATAGCCTAACACCAATATTTGGAAAGCTGTTAGTTCAGGTAATAAAATAAGTTATTTATAAGCATTTCTAAGACAAAGAGTTGATTGCTAAGAGTTAAAAATAGGTCATATGAAACAATCACGTCTCCTTTGACAAGATAACAACTTTGGTGGGCAAGGGGAATGCCATGGATATTATCCTCCTCAATCTTTTGAAAACAGATGGATGCAAAATAGGAATTAAGCAGTTCAGCCTTCTCCCTAATCACCATCATGCCATCTTCTCCAACCAGTGGGCTGACCATTTTCTTGATGCTCCTTTTGTTCTGAGCCCATGCAAAGAAGTCTTTTGTTGCTGCTGTTCTAGTTGTTAATGTTCTTGTAAGCGTCTTTCTGAACTTAAGCCTTCCTGAGGTCATCCTTACAGAAGTGGGCAATTTGCTAATATTCTGCTTTTGTTATATGCTTCTCTTTCTATTTTTTAAAACTTGTTCTTATTCTTGTTCTTTTTGTTTCTCAGTTTATCAAAGAATTCTTTATGCAACCACACTAGTCTCTTCACTGTTTCCCATTTTTCTTTCTTTTTGGTATTCTTGTGTTTGGGCCTTAATTATCTCATTTTTCAGAATTTCCCAACCTTTTTTTCCTTTCAGGATTTCCATTCATGGAATCCGTGCAACCTTTTCCCGTAGCTTATTGAAGTCACCTCTACTGAAATCTAGAACATTAATCCGACGATCTTCAGTTTTTGTTGTCCGCAGTATAGTGAATTCTGGGATCACATGGTCACCCTCTCCTAGGGTTCCTACAGCTTCTACTTCCTCAACCATTTCTTCCCTGTTAGTAAGTATTAAGACCAGTATAGCTGATCCTCTAGTTCCCTCCTCCACCTTTTGGATGATGAAATTGTCTGCAAGGCACATCAAGAACCTATTGGATCTCCCACTTGCCACAGACTTTGATTACTACTTGATGATGGGGTAGTTGAAATCCCCCATTGCCACAGTAGTGTGTTTCCTGGACACCTCAGCCATTTGATTTGCAAAGATTTCATCTATGTCTTCTGTTTGGCTGGGTGGCCTGTAGTACACATCCACAACAGTGTCATTATTGTTTCTTTTTCTTTTAAGATTTACCCAGATGCTTTCAGCTGGGCTTTCATCTTTGGGATCATGAATTTCCATACAGTTGTGGTCTAGTAACTCTTTCTCTATAATGCATTCCTCTTTCTCTCCTTTTGTTGGGTCTGTTTCTTTTGAATAAATTATATCTTTCTAGTACTATATTCCATTTCCATCCTACTCAGTTATCAGCACAGACTAGAAAGTGACAGTTTTTAGTTCAAATTGTAAAATGTGAAGTAAAAAAGAGTTAGCCTCTTTTAGTAGCACTGAAATTTTTAGAAACAGGATGGAACCTTCGATATGTGCAGTTTCAGATCTTCTGACTTTGGACACTGATTGATTGATTATGTAACATCAAGTCATTGTTGACTCTTGTGACCACATAGATAGATTTTCTCCATGATGATCTGTCCCTAACCTGGTCCTTCAGCTCTTCCAACAATGCCCCCATCTGTGGAGTCCTTGGGGTTCTCTGAGCTTGGTTCTTTTCTTGCAAATGTTTCGTTACCTGGCTAGGTAACATCTTCAGTAATCCCATCGCCACTGTAACTGACTCCATCCACCTTGCTGCTGGTCATCCTCTTCTTCTCTTTTCTTCTACCTTTC